CGATTTTTTTAGCGGCCCCTTTTCGTCTCATTCCAGTGTTTTTATTATTTTTTTTTTTAATGAAAAAAAAAAAACTTTTGAAAAAACTGAAGAAAAAAAATTGACTTTTAAAAATATTTATATATTCTATGGAGAAATTATTTTATATATTAACCCGTTGAGGGACAGCGGTTACTACAGTGGACAGCTTATCATGTTATCAGGTTACAGGCTTCGTGAAAGGGTTAAATTGTACATCCTGTCCTCCTGTGACCGTGCCACTAATAGCCTCTTGGGTAACACATTTTTAGCTAACCTAACCACCACTAACCCGAACCTGAACCGCTAAGCCAACCCCAAAGTGCTAACCTTAACCTAACGCAGCCCTTTAGCCCTGTTAACCTTAAAAGTCCAACATTTTAGAACCTTCGGGTTGCTGGGCTAATAAAACTCATAGCTATCCTACCGTAAACGATCCACACATTTGTCGCTTTGAGTGACTTTGAATTGGTTGGGCGCTGATGCAGCGGTTATCAACCACAGAGTGGAAGAATGAGGTTGAGATGTTTATTTTAAAGCGTGGCCGCTTGAGTGATTGAAAAACAAGCTCGGAGCTAGAGCAAGTCGCATCTTATGCAATGTGACTGATTTTCCTTACAGGAAATGACGTGTTTACATTCTCTTGCACTGATAAGACATCTCCAGGGAGATTGGATGTTGTTTTTCCATGCAACAAATCACTAACTTGAACCACTGCAGCTTGACCTCTAACCTTAAAGAAAAATGTTGTCTTGTCTGTGCTGTTGCTGTTGTTGTTGTTTGCTGCCTGACCTGACTGCAGGGCCACAGCGTTGCCGGCAACCTCGCAAGGTCCGATTTCCTCCCGTGTATGTTCTCTGTGGACGTGGCTGTTGGTGTTGGCGCTCGACAGTTTCTCGATGGGCAAGCGGTCGCAGACAAACTGTCTATCGCTGTAAAGAGATGATTCCGCCATTCTCTTCTTTTGAGTGTGGATATTTTTGGCCTTATTTTAAATATTCTTAATTACAGTTGTTATAGTCTCATTCATTAATTTTTTATTTCAAATGGGTAAAATATTTTTCCCATTTGAAATGGGAAAAATATTCTACCAATTTGAAATAAAACTGGTGGACAGTATATCAGAAAGTTTGTGTATTTTATTTTTTAAATTGAAAAATTGTATGATTCCAGAACATTTTTTTCCTTTCTTTTCTTTTTAAATTTAAAATGACTATGCTCTCAGGTAGTCTGTACAGTTTTACAATATACTGGACATTTTAATTATATGTCACATAATTTAAAACATATTTCTACATGTTATATATATATATATATATATATATATATATATATATATATACATTTTGGGGAGGGGGGATTGGGAATTTTGCAATTAAATTTGTTGACTCTCAGGAAATGTGAATGCAGGTATTTAAAATGAGTAGAACCTCAGTGGAGTTTCACCCTTTTCTCTGAACATAATCAATACAATCATAAGTACAAATATTAAAACTTCCTGGGGTCTGTCAAACAATTTAAAAATATCACGTTTCATGTGCACGAAAAGTAATAAACATGAAAACAACTGTCAATATTGCCGCATGACAAATGCTGCCCCCGTAATCATTTGAACTACAACTACAGCATCAGACCAAAACTACACCAAAAACACCCTATTAGGTACCCCTACCAAACACCAATCCTCACCTGCCGAGCAGCCTTAGAAGCGTGTGCACGCCCCCCCAGCTGCGCACCTCCGCCCTGGCACGGGCGTCCTGACAGAGTTGCACCAGGACCCAGGCCACGCTCCACAGCAATTTGAGGTGGGGCGCGTGCAACAGACTGAGCAGCACCGGCACGGCCTCAGCATCCCTCAGCTCATCTCTGATGCGCGGCACCGGAGAGAGGACCCTCAGCAGCTCTGCGGCCATCCTGTAAACAACGCCGCATGAAATGATGTGCAACTTGGGCTCAGAAGATCAATTGTAACCAACCACTTAGACGACAGGTCGTAGTCCTGTAGGATGACCACAAGGTTCTCCACAATGGGAAGCTCGCCGATCTCAGCTCTACACTCTGGACTGGAGGAAAATTAACATGTGACCCAGGGGGGGAGGGGTGAGGGGGCATGTCTCTCCCTGGCCACCATGTCGTTCCACCAATAATGGCAACACATGCTAGCTGATGACAACACAGAGCATCTGAAAGGGGCAGCGAGGGCCTTGCAGACTTTGATTGCCCACCATTGTTACGACCTAATGATACTGAAGGATGCCAATTTTACCTTTCAGCCAAGGTGGTGAGCGCCGTGAGGGCTCCAAGCAGCACGCTGCTGTCTGTGGTGGACAGCAGCTTCACCAGCGTCTACCAGGATAGAACAACAGAAGAAGAAGAAAAAAAAAACAAACAAACATTTGAAAACAGGTTGACGGTTTCAGCTGACAAAAGACAGCAGACAGATGTAACAGAAGAGAAAGAACACAAAAGCAACGCAGAGTACAGGACAAAAGCAAAACAAACAGAACACAGCCAATATGGAATCAACACCAGATATTCTTCAAACTTTCGAGGAAGCAAAGTGAGACAAATCAGGCAATGTGTTGATTTTGAGTCACGGCCGAGACATGGGTCACTTGACACCAGGTCTTTTTTCGCGTATATTTCTCCAGACCTTGATGAATGTTTTGAAAGCTAAACGATCCAAGATTCTTGAATGAACCAGGGTCATATGTGCGCACGCAATAACAGTGGTACGTCGAATAAAATTTGCTCTGTGAATAAGCTCCTAAATCAATGTATTCATTTAATTAATCAATTGAAAGAAATATATGAAATTCATCTGTTCAAGCCCCTGAAATGAACAGCTGAATTGTCTTGTTTTTATGCGTGAAAACAAACAAAAAAAAACAACGTAGTAAAAGAGAATATGTGGAAATGTCCTTTTAAGGGACATGCCCGAGTGAGTGACATCAGTCAGATTGGCCCGTTAGTCAGCGCGTGAGCGTCTGGGCGTGTGTTGTGGCCCACAGCAGCTCCTTTTGAGTGTTCTCATTTTGTATTTGCGTTCAATGCTTTGTCCCAATTCTTCATAAAACTGACCGGGCGACGACCTGTCACTCAAAAAACGTTTACATTGGAGCACTTGGAAGTCAAGGCATCACTATATGCTTACTCTGGGAACGCCACTCTCGATGACCCAGACCCTTTGATCGTCCACAGCAGACATCTTCTGGAATACGTCTGCACAGTCATCAGCACGACTCAAAAACACCACACTTGTTATTTTTCTTTTTACATTTTTAATCAAATACTCACATGTCATAGTGACCAAAGATTGTGCAGCCAGTGCCGATTGACCACATTTAAAGCACACGTCAGCAACGTACTTCATATACTGACACAGCAGACAAGAAGACAACATGTCAATTAAGCTCAAGATTCAATAAGTCAAGAGTGTCCAAAGTCTGGTCCATTTTTGGCAAGGGCCATGATTTTTGTTTGTTTTGGCAGTGTTTTATCCTCATGATAAAAGTAAATACGGTTGAAACACTATCAAATTAGAATTGTAACAAAATTTCAATGCTACACAATATTTATCATTTTTATTCAAAACTATTTAAAATTATTTTTAAAACCAAAAGGTTCAGGAAAATTTGGAATTTAAAAAAAAAATTAATCTAAACGTGGCCCGGCTAAAAAGGTTACCAGAAAAATGAAGAAACTTTTTTTTTTAAATGTAAATAAATCTGAACATTACAAGATATCACGCTGTCGTTTTTTAAAATGTTTTCAACTAAAGGTGAATGAATCTGTTTTTGAATTGAATAAAAATTTGTCACAGAATTTTATTGACATTTTTTTAATGGTGAATAAATTTGAACGTTACCAGATACCTCACATTAAAAATATATAAATATCCCAGCTTCTATCCGTTTGCTTCTGGCCAGCAAATGTCATATGGAACTCCATATCTTTTGAAGTGGGCGACCCTCTTCCTTCTATTTTTCCAAATGTGGCCCCCAGTGGAAAGAGTTAAATTCACCGTGATTTACTTAATTTAATTTTTTACCCTGGCAAGTGACTGGACGCCTTGGAGACGATGGAACATTTTCTGAAAAGTAGTAGATATTTGAATGAACAGATGCCGTATGGGGAAGTATCGATGACCTCTCGCAATGGTTTCACCTGATAATGAGGGTCCCTGATGAGCAAACGCAGGCACAGCAGCACTCTGAGGGCCCAATCGAGCGGTGCCAGATTCATCCAATCACTGCACAGGGACGAATAAGCAAAGTGACATCTTGGTGTCATTTTATCACGGCAGGTCCAAAAAAAAACAAAACAAAATGGTAGTGTGTAGACTTTTTGCATCCACTGTATCATAAAACCAACACAGATTGTTTTTTACCTGCAGAGGCGATTGTTGACCAGTAAGGTGAGGATGTTTGCAAAAGCCTTCTGGAACGGGTGGCTGTTAAAACATATCAGCTCTCCATATGTCATGCTGAAAGGGTAACAAAAGCTTTTTTTATTAACATACCCTCCTGTTACATTATATTGCAGGTCAGAGTGACACGTTTTAAAGCTTAGAAGAAGACATATTTCAAGAAGTCTGTAAATATCTTTGGACACACCAAAAAAATGACAAGTAGAAAATTTAGATAAAATATTGTAATAGTGGCTGTTTACTTGCATGTGCCTTTAAGAGGTGTGGCCTGGTGGGATGGTAATTTTTCAAGATTTTTCAACTTTAAAATGGGTCGTAGGATAACAGGACAGATGCATGAATTCAATTGAATTCAATGAGACGTTTTTAACTTGTATGTGGTCGGACTATTGGTCATTTGTGGTACTTGGAACCTGAATTTTTCCAGCTCGGAGGCTTCCCCATAGCTGTCTTTGGGAGGGTGCGGGCTGTGGAATCTGCTGCCGCCTGCTTTGCTTTGACCCAACACCTGCAACACACACGTCGCAACCCACTTATTGTTGTTAACGTGCACACACGCACACACTTGAGGAAACATGAGCCTCTTTGTATCGTCATCAAAACGACCTGCTTTGTTTTCCTTCACCTCTTGTTTGGGGCTGCTTTTGGCAAGCAGGGCCTGAAGCCTCCTCAGATTACACGATGTCCTGCAAAAACAAGGATTTTTTTTTTCTCCAGTTAAAATCACAGCTTACGTTTCCTTATAACAGAATAGGAACAGCTCATTCAACAACAACAAAAAAATAAATTGAGAAAATGTCTCTTAATAGTCTGACCAAACTGGCAGACCTGACATAACAGGTAGTAATAAAATGACGCTTACTAGTATTTGTTAAAGTCTTTAGTTGCCTTAGGCACAACACAGCACTAAAGCACCAACATACGAGCAGCACAAAATCAACATACAGTAGCACCTATGTAGGGTGCACAGAATCCAATGTCAAACAAAGATGAAATAATTGCAAAACCAACAGCACCAACACAAACACAACATAAAAAGGAAAAAAAAACATTTGTATTAGGTTGTTGTAACAATGATGATTGGCAATAAATCATATACTGTTGGAAAGACTCTTTGTTTTATAGTAACTCATTTGTAAGAAACATGCATTTGTGGGATGAGTAGCACACCTAAACATGTGGGCTGTGTCCATGTAAAATTTGTCAAATCATTTCTGCTTAATTCAAACACCTTATTTTGCTGTTACTGTTGACAATTGTTTTGAGTTTATGTCCCCAGCATGTGGAGTGACATGCCCAACAAAGGACAAACACAAAACACCTACTGAAGTAGAATATTAGAGCAATCAAGAAGCGAAACGACGAACATAATCACCATGGCGTCGTTGGTTTTACATGACGTCATGCAGATTCGTTTTTTAATGATGTCACAGACATATATCAGACCAGTCTCCTTACCCGCTGTGGATTCCTGTGGATTTCAAGGCTTGCCGGTCTCCTCGGCTGTCTTTTTTGACCTGCTTGGACATTTTTAAACTTGTTTGAGTCATCTGTGAAGGTAAACACAACAATTAAATTTTATGAGCTACAGGCCAATTGTGGTGCGCAAGTCAATGTAGTTTGGCTATTTCGGAGTAAATTAAGCTTTTTAACCTAAAAGTCACATTTTACCCCTCCTCCATTATCATACATAGGCACACAATGCGTTGATCTTGAAAATATGCCTTGTTATTAGTCCATCCAAAAAGGAAGACTTAACATTTGTAATAAAAAGACGCTCGAGCCAGTAGTGGTCGCAGTTACAGTCTTGGTTGCCATGGATACAAGTAACGCGTCATATTTCCTCATGGATGTACCACCAACCGAAAATCTGATACCTAAATGAAAGACACTTATGATAATATGTTAATTATTGGCATTAATTGGATCAAGTACATGTAATAATTGCTCATTATGACTATTCTGTTTGCATATTTGTAAAACAGAAAAAGGTATGCTTCCTTGGTAAAACGTCGCGAGACTACGCCGAGTCTGAAAGGAAATCACCGTGCTCGCGAGACTTCCCCACATTTGCATTCACGTATGAGTTGCGTTCAGACTTCAGCGCATTTACGACGAGCGGGGTTGGTGCTGCGTAATTTATAGTACGTAACTCGCGTAAATGCGCTCAGACTGGGGGAATGTCGGCTCGTGAATGATCAGCAATTGAGGCGGCAGGGAGCGTCAACGCTATGGGTGAGAGTGCTTGATTTTTGGGCTCCCGTCTTTTCGATACGTCGCCCACACTGCTCGTAAAAATACCACGCTTAATGGTGTTCGCGTTAGATGTGAATAATTAGACCGACGTGTCATTTTAAAAGCTTGTGCAGTCGTCCGAGCAACCAACGCCCAGTCGTCCGCCTCCACTTAGAGGCTAGTTTAGCTTTAGCTTCATTTTTGGCTAACAGCTAGCGGGAGTGTCATTTCCTGTCGCTTGCTCTTGAGCAAACTCCTCCAAAGAAATCCAAGTTAACTGCAACACTATACTCGTTTTATGGTCACGTCGACAATTAAAGTTTTTTTATTTCAAGATTTCGCCGCTAAAGATGTCACGGAAATGTGATTTATTTGCTATTCCGTGGTCGCTTTTATGGATTTAAACAGTGTTCGATAATTGTTCCTGGTTGTGTGTGTGTGTGTCGCCACCTATGTGTTCTATTGTTGTAATTATCAATTGTATGAGTTGAAAATCACGACGCGCTATCTGAGGCCACTCCAAATCGCATCTGTGCTTCACAAAGAAGACCTTGGAGTCTGAATTAATTCACGCCACATTATTGTCGTACGTGTGTGTTTCTACTAATCCTGATAATAATTGTATTGCAATGGCCCTGCTGATTGTTCGAAACGAGGCAGCCTGGAGAATGGAACGTCAAGGTTTTAAGCAAGGAGAAGGCAGGCTGCTGCTGTTTTCTAATCTGGATTAAAGTGGATCTTGTCTCTCGGAGGGCATGTTTTGACTTTTAAAATCACTTGTCTCAGACTGTTGCAGTCTGAAGACGGCATTAAGTGTCCTGTAATTCATGATATAGTTACAGTGAATTTTCTTCATGACAATGTGTTTAGAATTGTGGGTTTGGTATATCCTCAGAGATACACATATATAATCTATATCTTGAAGAATATTAGTCATAAATCAAACAAAAATTACGAGACACGAATACCTGATGTAGAGTGGCAGCTTCAGTTACGAGGGACCTTATTTATATGTTTGTGTTCACAATCACACCTCGGGACAATTTAGAACATTCAATCAAACTACCATGCATGGTTTTTGGAATGTGGGAGGAAACAAGAGTACGCAGGCACGAGGAGAGCATGCAAACTTCACACAGCAAGTCCTGAGTTGGAATCGAACCCGACCTATGCACTGTGAGGCGAATGTGCTAACCCTTCGTCCATCGTGCTGCCCAATACAATACATCTTTATATAGTGCTTTCACCCTTCGTCCATCGTGCTGCCCAATACAATACATCTTTATATAGTGCTTTCACAACAGCTGGAATTGCTTCCAGATGAAATAATTAATCCAATTCCAATTTGATTTGGAAAAATTGCACTTCATGTACATGCTCTTGCAGGACTCAAAAACCAGAGCCGAACATTTAATCAAATTCAAATCGATATTGCAATGTAGTAGAATCGATGCCGTTTCAAATCGCAAAGTCTGCAGTTTGTGGAAAAAAAAACAAACTGCTTCATTGTAGTGGCTCTGTAGGCTTTATTTTGAATATATGTATTTTATTTATTGGCAGAGTGCCGAGATAAATTCCGCGCTTACAAAGTGCAATCCTAACTCCTTTCTGTGTTAAGCCCACACCGCAATTGTCCATGACTTCTGATTTCAAATTCACTTCACAGCAACACCTTCACTTACGAGTAATTCATTCCGGGACCATGCCTGAATCGCAAATCATCTTTGCTCATTGAATGAAATGTCAGTCTGTTCCAGCAACCACAAAGTATCGCCCACTGACAAGGTCAATCAAAATGCTGTGCGTGTACTCTTATTACAATGCTGCCTTCCTTGGTCACCACTTCCTCTTGCAGATGTGTCAGACACAGTTAGTTTTGGGGGGGAAATCATGTGGGTGTGTGATAGGAAAAATGCGTTTATTAATGACCATTCTGCCTAGCGCACGTGGGCGGCTGCAGGCCGAGAGGAGATGCTCTTCTTCCCGCCTCCAAGCCCGAGGCAAACTCATCAAATAAATAGGCTTTTTCTTCATCGCATAAAAGGGAACACGTGTTATGAAATACGTGTCGTGCACGTCAAATGTCTCCTGCTACTGCGAGAATTTAAAGCATAGCACGGCAGTTAAAAGTGAACGAAGTATGTTTGTCATGTGGTCTGATACTCATTTTGTGTATTTTTTTTCTCCCTTTATTCTCTATTTCCTTCGCGGTGCCGGAACGTTACCATCACACTGATCTGCGTATAACAGCTGTAAGTATTCCAAGTCATTGTTATGGGGCTCCTTTGCATTATGATTGGAGAGTGTGCTAATATGGACACCCGCAGCACTCAATCGAAATGTGTGTACTGTATATGATCAAAAATAAGGTCAGTGAATGTGAACTGGGGCTGAGCAATATTACATTGAAATATAATTTTGAAAAAAAAAAGATGTTTTGCACAAGACTCAGATTTCTGATTTTAAATGGAAATAACTTTTCCATTGAACTGGCTTTGTTAGGGACATTTGTAAAAAGAAAATGAGCATTTGAATGTTTCTAAATCGAATCAAGTTGTAGTACAAAAGTAAAAGTGTGTGTTTGTCAGAAAATGAGGAGCTAGTTGTCTGCTCTTCTCTACTTACTGAAGTAATGTCAGAGCGGAAACAAACTGATGTTATAGCCTTGCTAGTAATCTTCCTCTTTAGAGTGTCTGCAGTATTTCTTTCACCCGTTGTCTACATGTCAACTAAAGTACCTGGTTGCAAATGTCGATGACAAAACTGCATTTCAGTAATAGATTAACATTACTGTGACTTTGTCCCAAGAGTGATTGGGTGGCGCTATTGTTAATGTATTGGAAGTGTTCACCTCTTATAGCAGCCACTCTTTGTGAGCATGTTTTGCATATTCCTTCCTCTACCAAGCTGCGGTACCCGAAAAATTCCAAAAGATGTGACATTTTGGACATGGGGGAAAAGTTGTAGGGCTCACTGACTGCTCACACCAATAACGGGACGGCAGTGGTCGTGCCACATGATGCTTTAAAAAAAAAAGAACACCCCAAAAAAAAACTGGTGGTTGAAAAATTGCTGCGTTTTGAAATCCATTTTATAACATTTTGATATTTGTTGAAACCAGAAAGTAACCCATGCCTGTCCTACATCGAAGTGGCGCAACTCTTCATTTGGACTTGTATTTAAATCCAAGATCCAAGAACTGAATGATGAACTGTGACATAGCTGGGGTTCACTGTATTTCACACTAAATTCGGACTTTTCTACTTTAATGCTAAATATCGTGATGAATTGCTAACTGATTTCTCTTAACATTGGTTTGTCTTGCAGCAGCAGAAGAACCTAGAAGGATATGTCGGCTTTGCAAGCCTCCCCAACCAAGTGTATAGGAAGTCGGTCAAGAGGGGCTTTGAGTTCACCCTGATGGTCGTTGGTAAGAGCGCAAGCTGCCCGCCTTGTTGTTTTTTTTTTCCTCAGTAGACTCTTTGTGTCCCCAAAGGCGCTTGGCATTTCAATGTCTTCACTGTGGTTTGTTTTGTTGAGACAAGATTGTGTCACTTTGTGTGTGTGTAACCATATTTATACACTGAGGACAAGCCCCCTGCTTTGTCTTTGCCAAGAGAAAAAGCTGTGGAGGCGGCTCGGAATAATCTGCGACATCTTGCAGAAACACTGGTGGAAAAAAAATTGCAGAGATTCTTCCCTGGCTCATCAGTTTGGAGGGAAAATGTTTGCTCGGGTCAAAAGCATTTCCTGTGTAGAGAGCAAGTATTCGTAAAGGCACGTCTCTAAGAATAGTTAGTGCTGCATGCGCTGAACCTGTGCTCAAGACGCTGCTGGACACGGTCCAAGCGTGTTCAGTGAGCGCATCATCGACAAGAGATGAAGCCTTCAATTTCTTTTTATGTCTTTTTAGCAAAGCCTTTTTAGCATATTTTTTATCCCAAATCCCCAATATTTATTACAGGGTGGCATATTGCCCTAGTGGTTAGCATGTCTGCCTCACAACTTTGAGGTTCTGGGTTCCCCCCACCTCTCGCAAAAAAAAAAAAAAGACTACATTAAGGCAGAAACGTTTAATCCAAATAAAGTGTGGATGTGGATAACAATATGTTGGTATGATTAAGAATACCCCGTTGTGTTTGGAACCAATGTTCTCATTTTGGGCATGATTGCAGAATGTGAGCCAAAAAAAGTTTTCGAGGCCCATTTTTAGTGAACAAGCTTGTTTTCTTTTCGTTGCTACTTTCTCGCTCACACACCCACGGACAGACATGCACACACGCACAGAGTGTTGCGCTTGTCTTGGCTGTGCTTCACATGGAGCCCATATGGCCCCGCAGTGCAATACAGGACATCAACCAGGGAGGAGGTGTGAGTGGAGAAGAGAACGGTTCCAGTGTCCGTCATGGCTTCCTACTTTTTCGCCTTTGCAATGTTTTTTTTTTCCCCTCTCTGAGAAAAAAAAAACAAATTCTTCAACCCCTTTCTATTGAACGAGGCATTTTAGGGTCAATGTTCACGTGAGCTCATGATCCTTTGGACCGTGTCCATGCTGGAGCACCACGGCTTGACAAGGCTCCAAAGTAGCACAATGAGATGCTCTGTTGGTTGTCCAACAACCATTAACATGCACAGATGCT